TCTCTCCCATGATGTGTCTAGGAGTTTAATCTGTAAAGACATTAGTTTATTCCAATTCCTAGGTCTCTAGGGCTCTTTCAAACATTTCCCTGAGGTATTAAAGATCTGGCAATGGGACTATTCCCAATTTCAGTCTTTGTTTGCAAGTTAACTCCCCAGTTTCTGACTTAAGGTTATTCACAAAAAGTGAGGAAGGAGCAAGAGTCACATATGCTTCACTGTCTACTCTTGAAAGTGATCTAAAGTTACTGTAAAGTCTATTCCTCAAGCCTTCAAAGACTCTTTTGGAAGCCTCTTCATGTCAGTCAAAAAAGACAGACAATTGGACTTTGCTCACTTTCTATTTTAAAATGCTTATCAAATGAATAATGTGTTCTTATCAAAATTTCCCTACTATAGGGGCATCTGGGTGGCTCAGTCTGTTAAGACACCAACTCTTGATTTTGGCTTGGGTCATGGTTTTACGGTTCGAAAGATTGAGCTCTGCGCTGACAGTGCAGAGCCTTCTTGGGATTCTCTCTCTTCCTCTCTCTCTCTCTCTGCCCTCCCCCTGCCCCCACACTCTCCTTCTCTCTCTCTCAAAATAAATAAACATTTAAAAAAATTTTTCCTTATTGTAATTCTACTGGACTCTTGCTTCTTATGTTTATTCCATATAACTCCTCTAACTCATGCACTTATCTTCCTAATTGGCAATATTTCACCAAGAATAATTTAGAATTACAGCTAAGCCACTTCCTGATACCTGATGTTCAGAAACAGTATGAAAGAATAAACGTTTGCAGTTAATAAGTGTTAGTTGGGTCATTATTATTATCATTATGGACAAAATAAATCAATATGTTTCTCATCTCAAAAGGTGAGGAGGTAAGGAAGAGTCAGAGATTAATAGCCATACAATACATAATAAAATATTACAATACATGCTAAAGTCTTAGAATAATAGAAGTTATGTACAAATTGGTATGGGATCACAGAGAGGGAAGTGATTAATTTTGTAGGTAAGATGCACGGAAGAGGTTGGGCCTTGAAGGTAAGGTAATAAATACTTCCCAAGACAGGAAAGGATATAAGAAACCATATGTACAAAGAACATAATGGATCCTGGGAGCATTCATTCATTCATTCATTCATTTATCCATCTAATAAATATTTATTGAGCACCTTATTGTGTTGGGCACCGTGCAGTGATGAAAAAAAAAATCCTATCATTATTCTACCTTCTTGTGGAGCTTATCATCTAATGGGAGAGATAACAGACAAGTAAACAAATAAATATATAAACAAAGACAACAATAGGTACTACAAAGGAAGAAAGCAAGAGGAAGAAGATGACCAGAGAAGCCTACTTACATAGGGTGGTTAGGGAAGGCATCTAGGAAGGGCCAATATTTAAGCTCAGACCTAATGGACGAGAAGAAACAGATATGCAAATATGGTGAGAAGAGGGGTTCAGGCCACAGCACAGGACCCCATAGGTACAGACCCTGAGAGGACCACAGTGCATCTGGACTGTAGGCTATGTGATGCCAATGCTGAGCTATTAGGAAAAGGATTTTATATGGTTTGATATATTTCAGTTCATTTTTCAAAAGGATAAATTATCTGAGCCAGGTAAATGATTCTCCACCCATGTTGTCTGATCATATTTTGTCCCATTATTCATTCTGTCATTGTATTGTCTGCCCATCACTGAGCTTGTGACAAAGACCTAAGAATGCATCAGACCTATTGCAATGTCCATTCAGACCCCGGGACAGGTGAGGGCAGGAGGTAATAGATGAGGACGTCTCACCAGATGAGACCATTTAGAGAAAAGCAAGGTGAATTATCTCCCATCATAACAAAATTCAAAAATACGTGGCTTTGGCATTGTTGCCAGGCAGCTGGCAGCGAGGAAACAGACTGCAGGGTGGAAAACTAGAGATTCTTGTTATGCTCTGACCAATCATTAAGTACAAAATCATCACCAGCACCAACTCAGAAGGCAGGCCGGTAGCAAAGGGGAGAGCGATTAGGAAAAAGCGGTGATGATGCGGATTGGCAGCTCTTTGCTGTTTTTTAGTAAAGTACCATGGAAAATAGTTGAGTGAGACAAGAACTAGTCTATAAATAGGGTAACACAGCTTTGTTACAGGACTTGTGCCTTTGCCCTGCAGCCCACTGCTTCTTTACCCAAACAGTGGAAAATTATGCAGAATCTTTCTCCAGAGTCTCCATTAAGTAATGCTGGCCAGACAACGGGAGTAGCTCAGCAGAAAAAATCAGACAAATGTTGTTGCATTCCCACTTAAACTTGTTCCAGAAAGCTTCCAGGTGCCTGCCATTAAGTTGAGGATTGGAGGTACAAGCAGAGACTGAGTAAAATGCTGCTGGTTTAACAACTATAACAAGAGGAGACTTTTGGCAGTGGTCACTTTGACACGAACTAACTGGAAGCAAATAGAAACCTTTTGGATGAAATTTTATCACCTATGTTGTGGGCACCCCTCAGATGCACTCCCTAACCCCAAATTTGGTTTGGATGTCAATACTATTAACCACTCACACATCAAGAGGGTACAAAGTTTGTTAGTCACACCATGAGACTTTATGGGGAGAGCAGGGCAGTTCCCACACAGGTCCAAAAATGAGTAGACTGGTCTGGCTTTTTTTTTTTTTTTTTGTTCTTAGAGTATAATCCTGCTTGCAGGCCAGCCTTGTGTGGTTTGAATTTCCCACTGGGAAGGAGGCACCCAGCCTTTCTAACCAGTTTGCCCAGATGTCAAGCATGGGGGGAAAGGGGACTAGGGAGGAGGCATGAAAGGTGTCAGCAGTCAAACATAAAAAATGGAGTCAGCCTCTTTATCACAGCCAAATAAACTATAACCCTGGCCTACAAAAGCCTGTTTGTTCAATCCCTAAAGAAATCTAGGTCTACAAATATGTACTAGGAACATGCAAAAGCTGTGATAAACCCCAAAAGTTTCTGATGTGGCTATGGGTTTAATGAGCAAGAATTTCCTAGAGATCAAACCGGGGGTCACAGAGAACAATGGACAAGTTTCTCCAAGACAGCAGATTGAAGGTTTAACCAAGAACCTTATTTTCTGGGGGGCAGAGGATCTTTGTAATTGTTCAGAATTTCATCATGGCATAGGGCATTGACAGCTATCCATCATTCCCATCCTTTAGTAGTCTTTCTCTCCCCTTTCCTTTTAGAACTAGAACCCTTCCCCTGGAGTTTTAGTAGAACATAGGTCCATCTAGCTGAAGAAAACATGTCCCAGCCTTCCTTGAAGCTAGGAATAGCTAGGTAGTAAGTATTTACAAATAACTGTGAGCAAAAGTGATGGGTAAGATTTCCTTAAAAAGAAAGAGCTAGCTCCTAACTTCCTTGCTTTTCCAGGTTGCAAAGCAGGTGTGATTCTTTGAGTCAATTTTGACCATGGAATGAACACTGTTCTTGGTAATGAAAGAACAAGGTAGAGGAATCCTGGGTCCCTCCATTACCATATGAATTAGAACTGCCCTGGACTTCTCTACTACCTCTGGACTGCTGTGTGAGGAAGAAATAACTTCTCATGTGGGCCATGGTATTTTGGGTTCTCTGTTATAGCAGCTTTGACCATTTTCTCACTTCTATTAAGAAGCTAAGCTTCTCTACCTTTTGATAATCTTAAAAATGCACCCCCCTTTCTCTGGAATTTAGTTTTAACAACAAGTGTAAGGAGCCTCAAATTTAACTGGCTATAAGCAAGTAAGACCTTAAAACTACATGTGACTTCATGAATTCAGTGTGCTCCTCCTCTTTTCAAAAAATCAACCTACAGGGGCACCTGGGTGGCTCAATCAGTTGAGCATCTGACTTCAACTCAGGTCATGATCTCACAGTTTGTGAGTTCAAGCCCCGCATCAGGCTCTCTGCTGTCAGTACAGAGCCTGCTCCAGCTCCTCTGTCTCCCTCTCCCTCTACCCCTCACTCACTTGCTCTCTCTCAAAAATAAATAAACATTAAAAAAATATTTTAAAAATCAACCTATAGAATACAGTCATGTATACTCTTTGGGTCTAAATGGAGGCATTAATTAACACAAACATATGAGTATCAAACTGATAAATGAAAACTCAGATCAATAAATACCAATTTTCCTTTTTCCCTACACATCACATATGTCCACGCACTATTTTTATCTATTCTCTGTAATTGATTAATCATAGATTATTGCATTAAGATTAAATGGATAAAGCAGACTTCCTCTCCCACTATGTAACACAAAGATGGTGATTTTCTCGGCTTTCCATTCGAGTAACTGTGTTTCAGATCGGTTCACGGTGTTGCTAAGACAACAGGGATGCTGTAACAGAAAACTGGCACTGAAGTCTCAAAGGATGGAGCTGCCTCAAAGGATATCATCGATGGTGTGTTCAAGGCCTTTTTCACAATGAAACTTGTAACACTGCATTCGAAAAAGGTGGTCACACTCATCCAACACCCTTCCAGAGAAGACTATGGCTCTGTCAATGACTTGTATTCTAAGATTAAGGAAAGAGCAGTCTGTGAACTAAAAGTCAGAGGCCTATCATTCCACTAACATGTATCTTTCCTAGAACCCTAAGCGAGTACTGTCCTTAAATTCCAGTTTGCCTTTATTCTCATAGAAGCATGTTTGAAGAATAATGGAAGAGAGCAAGAAGGAACCATATCATCCGATTGTTCCTTCACTAAAAATGTACATCTCATTGACGCAAAGGTTTGATTCTGTCTGGTAACTACCTGGGTAAGTAGGATATTCACCGATACCTGTGACTGATATTTGGAATCTGCATTTGTCAACAGATGCAAAGAAGCACAGTCTCCTCAATGCCCTCGTGATAAAGGCCCAGGAAGCTCAGCAGCAGTAGTGATGAACCCTGGGTTGCATCTCCAGGTTTGTCCAAGCAAACACCTGCAGCGGCATTCGTGTAGAACTGAAAACATTAAGTCAAAGACAAAGAAAATAAAAACAAAATACTTGAGCTGATTCTGAATATTTTTTTTTTCTGAGCTAAAAGAGAAAAGGAACGAAAACAGCAGTTAACTAAGCTGACACGTGTCCTTCACATCATGTCCATTCTATTGCACAGAGATGAAATCCGTCGAATGTAACATAGACGAGTGAATGAAGGAGCTCAGTGCTCTTAGAGCTAGGACACACCTTGTTCAGAACCGTCTCCCTCTCTTAAGAGATAATTTGGTGAAAAATAGTGGAGAGGCAAAGGGAAGTGTTGGAAGATATGTTTTCCCAATCTTTGAGGGTCCCTTGATGAAGAGTCACAGAAATGACTGAAGACTGAGGGAACAGTGCAGTTTTCCTTTTTCAAGCAGGAGTCAAAAGGTTATTATTCTTCAATAATGGAAACTGGGGATCGTACTGTGAGGCCAAGACTTGTGCAGGGGTCCTTATCTCTAAGTGCAAGTTTCATCTCGCGGAATCAAATGAAACCAAGACCCTTTTTTAAAACCGTGGTGTTCTAAACGTAAAAAAAAAAAGAAATAGAAAAGAACACAGACCACTCTCTTTTAATGTTCTTAAGTAGCAGAAATCATAATGGTTTGTATACTACACTGTACAATTATATACTGTTACTTTCCAAAGAAAATTAACTTCTTATAGGATTTTCTGAAATGGTTACTCCATACGGTTAAGAGCTTGACCCTTCAGCCATCGCTACGACACATGGCATACAATCTATGAGGTTCCCAGTCTTCCAGTTGTGCCGGTCTCTGCTGCCATTGAGGGAGGAGCCTCTCAGAGACCTCTCGTAGCCCCTTCCATCTCCTGCACCAGGAAACAGCCTCCGCAGGTAGATGTGTGCCGATGAGCGCAGTTTCTGTGCTTTTCTTGCCACAAGCCTACTCCCCTTTAAGAGAATTTGCGCTTCTTCATGGCTTCTGCTTTGACTGCCAGGCTCTTGGCACAGATGGTCAGGACCACAATGAGAACGCCCACCACAAATGTCACCAGGGGCCAGAGAAAGCAATGCAGGAGGACAATCTCATCATGCGTGCGATGAAGGAGCACATCATCTGGTCTGCAAGACAGTGGAGAATGGGAAAGAAAGAGTGGTCAACTGCCTTGACATGGCATAAATCTACACCCTGGAGCTCAGCTTGCTTTCTAGCCCAAAGGGAATAATCATTGAAAGTGAAGACCATGCTCTGGCTATAAATACTGTATTTTGAGGTTCAAATCCATTACCAAAAGTTCTGAGGTCTTGAATCAAGTAATTGGTACAAATTTGCATATTATCTATAATATAATTTACACGTTGTGAAATGCAATCTTTTACATTACTATTTTCCTGCATTTTAAGTTGTCTAACATATTCCATTTTCTCACTCACCCTTTAATGAATGCTGGTCAAAGTGGCATGAATCAGTCTAAAAAATTACTTGTGGGTTGACATTCTCAAACCCAAAGTAGACCTCAGCACTTAGGTGGGACCCAAATGATCTTAATTCATAAAAATAATAAAGTCGCTGTTTGAATTTAGTCAGAAAGATCTGTGGTGTAGTCTTCAGGTCAACTCAGCTTCATTATGTGAAGGTTTTTTATTAATGAACAGATGAGTGAAATGGTTAGATTTAGTGCATTTTTCCATGCTTCTGGGTGGGATCAGTCATCAGTTTAAACTACTGACTACTTTCTTGATAAATTTTGCAAAGTCTTAGCAATATATTTCTATCTTACCAACACAGGACCCCGCTTTCAATTCCAGCACTGGTCTCATTCTCAAGAAGTAAAAATGAGATGTTTTCCACAAGCCATGATTTCTCATCTCTGGCCATTAGAGAGAGAGCTTGGGACTTTAGCTTTCATACAAGAGGTTTACATTTTGTGAGGTATTTCCATTTCATCCCCAGGAAGGTTTGTTCTATTTAAAAAAAAATTTTTTTAATGTTTATTTATTTTTGAGAGAGAGAGAGAGAGAGAGAGAGAGAGAGAGCGCACACACAGGTGGGGGAGGGGCAGAGAGAGATGGGGTGACATAGGATCTGAAGCGGGCTCCATGTCAACAGCAGTGAGCCTGATGCAGGGCTCAAACTCACGAATTGTAAGATCATGACCTCAGTTAAAGTCAGATGCTCAACAGACAGAGCCACCCGGGCGCCCCAGGTTTGTTCTATTATCCTAGAGTAGCAGTGCTTCCTCCAAACAAGGAAGAAAATGATGCAGAACAATTAATTCAATTGCCCTCAAGAACATCAGAAGCTTTTTTAACAAAGAAATGCCTTCTTGAGGAGCTCTCACTGATCACAGCTTTCATAATTCAAGATCAATTTTTCCAGAAGATTGACAAAGAATGTTGGGTATTTCTCTTCTACCTATAATGCAACCATCATGCAGCATTAACAGTTTTGCAGCTTAGCTTTGAAATTACATAATCCTTACCCCTTTTTTGTGCATAATATCATTTAAGATTTTGCACATTAAGTGAGATTTTTATTGACATTTTATTTCATATTATTTCAGTTAAAATTTGTACTAGATAAATGCAGAGTCATTGTAACAATTAAGCAAAAAGCATTCCAGCTCCCAGAAGTTACTCTTTTTTCTGAATTCCTGTAGCAACACATTGTCTTCAAGACTTGTGCTATCATTAACTTATGATACATGTTAATGTACATATCCTTTTCTCCTGGAAAGCCCTTGACTTTGTCATTGTCTGTTACTGTACACATAGATGTTGCTAAATAACCACTTGCTACTGATGACCGGGAAACTATCTCTGTTTCAACATGTTATCCATGCAAAATTTCAAGAAACTTAAGCCTTGAGTGTAGACAGTAGAGGCCTAGGTCCAAATACAGTCAGGGCACAATATAATTAAGTCCTATGTTACAGTCTTTAAAACCCCAACCCCCAGCACTGCCACCATTATTTTCCCAGCCACAAGAACTCACAGCTGTCAGCTACCCCCACCAGAGTGTGCAAAGGAAGTAAAAGCTCTCTCGGTTTCAGATCTCACATTGAGGTCTTTAATCCATCTTGGGTTTATTTTTGTGTATGGTGTGAGAAAGTGGTCCAGTTTCATTCTTTTGCATGTAGCTGTCCAGGTTTCCCAGAACCATTAACTGAAGATACTGTCTTTTTCTCATTGTATATTCTTGCCTCCTTTGTCATAGATTAATTGACCAATTAAGCAAGGGTTTACTTCTAGGTTCTCAATTCTCTTTCGTTGATCTATGTGTCTATTTTTGTGCCAGTACCATACTGTTTTGATTGCTACAGCTTTGTAGTATAGTGCATCTTGAAATCTGGAATTGTGATACCTCCAGCTTTATTCTTCTTTCTCAAGATTGCCTTGACCATATCACAATAAAAAGCTTTTGCAAAGCAAAGGAAGCCATCAACAAAACAAAAAGGCAAATTACTAAATAGGAGAAGATATTTGCAAATGACATATTCAATAAGGGATTAATATCCAAAATATAAAGAGAACTTATACAACTCAACACCAAAAAATTTAATTAATAAATTACATAATCTGACTAAGAATGGGCAGAAGACCCAAACATTTTTCCAAAAAAGAAATAACATGGCCAACAGACACCTGAAAAGATGCTCAACATCACTCCTCATCAGGGAAATGCAAACCAGAACCTCAATGAAATATCACTTTACACCTGTAAAAATGGCTAAAATCAAAAAGACAAGAAATAACAAGGATTGTCAAGGATGTGGAGAAAAAGGAACCCTTGTGAACTGCCGGTAGGAATGTATATTGGTGCAGCCATTGTGGAAAATAGTATGGAGGTTCCTCAAATAATTAAAAGTAGAAATATTATATGATCCAATATGGGTATTTACCCAATGGGGGGAAAAACACTAATTGAAAAAGATATATGCACTCTTATGTTTACTGCAACATTATTTACAATAGCCATGATATGGAAGCAGCCTAAGTGTCCACTGATAGACAAATGGATAAGGAAGATGTGGTGGAAATATATACAATATTATACAGCCATAAAAAAAGAATGAGATCTTACCACTTGCAACAACATGGATGGACCTAGAGGGTTTTATGCTAAGTGAAATAAGTAGGACAGAGAAAGACAAATACCACATGATTTCACTTATATGTGGAATCTAAAAAACAAAACAAAAGCATAAACAACCATAAAGTAGAGTCAGACTTATAAATATAGAAAGCAAACTGATGGTTGCCAGGGAGAAGGTGTTTGGGGCGGGGGGGATGGGCAGAATGGGTAGAGGGAAGTAGGAGGTATAGGCTTGCAGTTATGGAATGAAGAAGTCATGGGAATGAAAGGCAGAGCCTAGGCAATACTAGTCAATGGTACTGTAATAGTGTTGTATGGTGGCAAATGGTAGCTATATGTGTGGTGAGCATAGCATAACATATAGACTTTTGAATCACTGTGCTGTACAGCTGAAGTTAATGTAACATTGTATGTCAATTATACTCAAATAAAAAATAAAATAAGATAAACTGCAGTATTACTGATTTTTTTTTTAATCTGTCTTGGGATGGCCTTCCTCCCTCACTTCCTTCCCACCTTCTTTTCCCCTTCGCTCTCTTCCCCTTCTTTCTTGGACAGTTCTATTGCTCCAGAATCTATTGGTGCAAAGATGAGCTACATTCTTCACCAAAAGGGTGAGAGTGCATAAAAATGTAAATGCACTTAATACACAGAACTGTATGCTTACAAACGGTGAAAATGGCAAAAAAGGGGGGGGGGGTAAGGACTTGTATTTTTAACACTATTTTAAGTAATTTGCATGTAATTTCCATAAGTGTTTTGCGGTTAATTTTCCAGTAAAATGCTTCATTGAGTATTGTCTTTTGTGTTCCTTCTTGAATCACTATTAATGATACTAAATCCTTTATCACAATACTGTACAATTGAACCAGGAAAATAGCCACAGATGAAGGTGGTTGGAACCACTATACATATTTCCTGAAACATTTAATAAAAAACGAATGTGAGTAAAAAGGAAAGGAGGAGTGAAAATAAGAACTGAAAATTCTGGACCCGGATATTTGTTTTATTTAGAAACTTCTTGGCTTTCCAACTGCTATAAGAGCCCTTGGGGCAAAATTTTATTTTAATATTTCAAGTGACAAAACATCATTCACTGGAGATAGCTATGTTGAATCTGTAGCAGCTTCAAAGCAGTCTTTGAGGCAGAAATATTATATAAAAATGTTCATATTTCTTTACAAATAATTGTCTGTTTCCATTTCATACAGTTCTAAGATGCCCCATAGTATCCTTCAATGGGAAGGAAGGGTAGCAGAATATGACACTTTGGCATAAGGTTATTTTGAGCTGAAGGTAATTGAAAAGAGACAGAGATAAGAAAAGCTCTCTGCCCTCCTCTTATTTGCCTAAAAGCAAGACATACATTTATAAAGGTGCCTTTCTTCCTCTCTCTTCCAGGAAGGACAAAAGTTAATCATTGGAGACAATTCTAGACTTTTATCAGCCCCAAAATGGCACCAGAGTAAATTATATAACAAATTTTCCTAACTAGCTCTTACTTTCCATCAGTTTCCCCTAAAGGTTGGACTTACCCTGAATACAGCCTTGAAAGTATATTGTGAGTACATTCTTAAATAGTTAGCATTTGTTAAGTGTTTACTACCCTTCAGGTGCTCGGATAGAGTGTTTAATCTCACTTGATCCTTAAAATAACCCTGTGATGGCCAAATTTTTCATTGTCATTTTAAAATAAGAGAAACTAAGGCAAAGAAAGATTAGTTTACTCAAGATTACACAACTTAAAATAATGACACAGTGATTCGGAAACCCTATCTATATGACTTTCAAACCTGTACTATTTATTTACCCCTCAGCTGGCTTTTCTCGAATTCAAGCCCCCTCTGGTATTTGCTGAAATTCAACTTCTTGAATCTCAATTCCTGGCTGACTACATCAGAATAGGACCCAGATACCTGCATTTTTGAGAAGCTCCTGGGTGATTCTAATACATAATCAAGTTTAGGAAGCGCTGTGTAAAGCTCTAATAGTTTAAAAGAAAAAAAAAATTGGTGTGAAACATAGA